TAGATTGCTTACGAAAGTGCTTACGTGGTGATGATGAGCAACTACTTTGAAATCGCAGAACCGCAGCCGCTGTTTTCCTTCTTTCATCCAAATTTCAGTAATCAGTTTGTTATCAATGATATATAATTTATTTTGATTTAACGCGATTTTCAGAAAAAACTCCTAACGTCAGACACATGAAAATTCGATTTACTGCCGCTATGTGCTGCGAAATAACCGGGCTCGTTGGATATTTCAAAGCTTGTCTTTATCCAGGAGTCGAATTATGTAATTCATAATAAAAAATTTTTTTAATAATGCTGACAATACAATTTAGCAACCTTACCGAATTCACACACGCCTGGTCTTTTCAGCTGGTTCTCTATTTTATTCCCATTACTGGTAAGTCGTGCTGCAAATCACGTTTTCGAGAGCCAGCTGTAGACAGCTGTAGAATGTTAATAATCTAAATCAGACTATGAAATATGCTTGATGTGCTAAATAGTAAACGAGCTGTTCATTTGCTATCTTAATTTTATAATCTGTTAGTGGCACGGCATTTAGACTGTCACTACTTAGGTTCAGACAGCATTTCACGAATCAGCCATGGAGATGCAGATGCTATGTTTATGTTTCCAATACTTTTCTATTTCACGGTTTCATGACTATACGCAGTTGGTGGGATCTCTTTTTCATGATGTTCAAAATGGGTTTCTTCGTCTTCGTCTTTGTGCCGTCAACCATGGTTGCCTATTTGTTTTTTTTCTTAAGGCTAAATCAGAATTTGATCACCACTTCGTACTCAGTCTCCTGCTTCCTTCCCAGGAAGTAGTACTGATCAAGAGGGGTTAGTGACCTAACCAGGACTCGAATGTGATACATTTCGATTTTGAGTTCAGCCTCCATTAACTATGTAACTGGTCTAGTCGAATCAGCCGTGGTTTATTCTCAGTGTCTGTTCGCTCTCTTTTAACAAATATGAATAGTAAGAAACAGGTTCAGTTTTAAAGTATACCTTATTTAAGTGTTTGAAAGAGGTTTGCCAGAGAATTGACCAGTTGTTTTGTTTTACATTTTTTTCATTTGATTATATTTTCTAGTGTTCATTCAGTGAGCTGGTCGTCACCGTTGCATATTTTTTGATAATGCTTTTATTTTATCAGCCGTTGCTATTTAAACATCTTATAAATAGCGCTGAAATTAATATACTTCGCCTTTAATTATTCATCTCCATTAGGCTTGCTGTATCGTCTAAAAGCTAAACAGTTGCATGTGCTTATATAGTTATTTTTTTACCGATTATAAACTGTTTGACTCTGTATATTCCTTTCTATTTGTCGATCCTTTCTGCATGATCACTAGATACTAAATTCTGCTTGAATTTTAAAACCGAGATACATATTGGAGTGCGAATCTCCAGCAATTCTTCTTTTTTATCAAAGGAATTTGATTAGTCACATTTTAGTCTACAGTACGATTTTTCAAAATGTTAAATTTTTTACTTTTACTTTTAACCATTTTCCTCTTTCACCGTTGGGTGAACCTATCCTCGCTAACAATTTAGTTTGATGCTGTCGTGTGTATACCTATTAATAAACGTTATTAATTTTTTTGATTAACTGTTCTATAATTCATTTAAAGACATACGTTGTTCGAAACGAAATACAAAGGTAATCGACCAGCCATGCCGAAAGGTGATTCGTGACTCAGCTAGGTGTACTGTAGATACTCGGCTCGCATTAGATCAGAAGCGTGCTTTACCTCGTTGATATGACAGCGAAGCTTACTGATTGTATTCGTTTTCACTCAGTCAACGTGTTTTGGAATATTACACAAAAGCGGAGAACGATGTACGGTTTCCTGCTACGATATATCTTAATATTTTAACAATTAAATCACTGACTTATTTGGCTTCTTTAAAAATGGTAGTTGGTGTATCAAATCGCAGTGTAATTGAAGAAAGTTTTAAGTATTGCATTCTATCCATCTTTAGTACCCTCCTCTGATATATGCTGTGGATATGATAAAAAGGAAAAGCAGCTGGGACTTCAGCCTCTTCTTCACTTCCGTCACAGGCATAATTTGTCATGTCTATTTGCCATGTTGCGTATTGTTCAGCGTTGATGTCCTTTTCAGAGCTAACCGCTACCAGTAGGTTATTTATGTAGACAATAATTATAGCTGGAAGACCACTGTATCGATTGTTTGATTTCCCATCTGCTGATTAAGTAATATTCAGTTTCTGCTTTATAAACATGATAGGCCAGACGTAGGACTAAATCTCGAACCGCCATCTGCTAACGATGATACCGAACCTGTTTCGATCTCTCTTCAAACATATAATTCATGATATATCACAGTAATTGAGACCGAATGCCGCAGGTTTGCATTCGCCATATGTAGGTACTAAGTATATAAACTGAGATTTAAGCGTGATTTTGTTGATGATGATGTATGATGCATAATTTGTTTGCATTGAGAAAAGTGAGGAGAATTATTGTTAAACAAGTTTGTAATTTTTTTTAGATTTTTACCTTCTCGATTTACTTACCTTTTGACGTTGATCATTGTCTTTTAGCAGCCAATATACGTCCGCAAAAGCGATGAAATCACAGTCAAATTTTGGCGATGTTTATCGAGTTCCAAAGTATGGTACGAATGGTGCTTAACAAGTCCAGCATGTTCAACCATCATGAACGTAGGAGGAAGATCTTATGCAATTCGTTCTGCATAGAAATCATAATTTGGTAAATGATTGACTCCTTTTACCGTTGTGAAATGTAAATAAACTACTGAAAACATGCGTCGGTATCTTGCTTTATTCTCGCGTATAAATACAGAAAAATTTCAGGTTCTATGCTCCCTCGTCTTTGCCCTACTAATCCTTGGTAGTACGAGATCGTTAAAGAATAACTTATGCAATGGTAAGCGTAGCATTACTGTTCTCTTTTCTTGAAGTAAAACAGGACAGATCTACATGTTCTAACTGATAGTGCTAATAAGATGGAGCAGGGTTCATGCAGAGCCTGGCAAGATGTCAGGTTCTTGTCATGGTCTCTTACCTAAGCATTTGGCATCATTTTATTCGATGTGTTTCATAACTGGAATTTTGACTTCTGTTCGCAACCTGTTTATATACCTTCAGGTATGTTCCTACTGTTCAGCAACTTTACATGTTCGTCTGTACAGTGATTCCCTTATTGACTGACTGACCTACCGTGCTCCACGATTCTAGTCCATATCAGTTTAACGGTTAAAGGTTAAACTAGTGGTGTTAATCTAACATCTTCTGTTGTTAAATACGAACAGAATTCATTGAACAGTATGACATCAGCAGCGGTCAGACTCGATGGACTGTTTTATCTGCACTATGCCTCTCGACAGTTCATAATAAGTGATAGATGAAGACTGCTAAAGTTTCTAACTCCTGCAGCGTCCACATGCCGTAAACAGTTCTAGCCTAACAATGAATTTTCTCCGTATTCGTTTATGCACACGGATTCATGGAGGGCCAGTGCGGCAGACTGCAAATCATTTATATGTGATCTTGAATCTTGTCGAAACGAGTATACAATGTTGCGGTGGGTTTGGCACGAGACTTTTCCGCGGCAGTATTCTCAACAGTTTATAATGGCATATATTTGTGTGAAATTTAGAAGAGTCCAGATCGACATGTTTTTCTGATTTGTATCTTTAAAATGTGGTAGGTAGATGAGATGCGACGTTTTACCATCAAATAAATTGTGGCAGTTTCCTCGAAGTTAGAAGTCATTTGCATCAAAGATGTTATAAATGATACCTATTTTTCAGCTTATGGAAGCAGAAATGTAAATTCTCTGATAAATATAGACAAACATTAAGTTGTCACAATCACCCTATTAAGTAAAAGGCTTAAAATATCTTGCCATTGCATGAAATGATCCTTGAGTGTCTTTCATCTACCAGAAATCACAATTTTCTGATTTAACAGACACTGTTTCGTTTTACGGTACTTTGTTTTCATTTGCAAGTTACGGTTGGCCGTTCAACGCATCTTTGATGGTGTGTAGATTGTCAACGGTCTCACTACTGGATGAACTGTCTTCACC